TAGGAAACAGAACATGCTACAGTTGACTTAGGAGCCTTTTCTTCCTCTTTCCTGTCTATAGGGCAACATAACCACACTACTAGGATTAGGGAGAAACCCCATTAGGAAGAACACATTATACATACATGTTCCATGCCCTTCACCCACTACCCACCCATAAATCCTAATGAAAGGCTCACTCAATGCTGCTCCTCCTCCATTAGCCTGTCCCTAAATGCCCCATTTGTTCTCAGACCTCCCACGTTATTGTTGCTTGTAATTTTATTTAGCACTTACAGCACTGAGTGAATTTGGCTTCTCTTTCACCAAATTGTAGGTAGGGGAGGAGGAGGCAGGGGAACAGAAAGGCTCAGGTCCCTTCCTTATTACATCTGCCACCATATCTGGTGTAGTTCTTTGCACATGGACAGCACTCTAAAATGATCATCACCAGGAATATAAAACCGGTCTGAAGACCACAAATGAGAGCTGGCAATAGTCCCCCCCCTTTCTCCTAATGAATCAAAGGTAGAGCATCTTTGGAGTTCAAGCATAGGCTTCAGATTCCTAATGACCTCTCTCTGTGACCACATCACCACAGCAGCCATTGTGACTCAGCACTTCACACAATTCCTCCAGGAGAGGTTTCCACTGTTGCCTTCTTTATTCCTGCCCTTGTTCATTCTGGCATATGAGAACAGTAAGCCAATGAGGAAAAAAGGGCAAGATGAAAGGATTTAGTAAGGGCTGGGCTATGTTAGGCAACCGTGGGATTAGACCAAGCCCTGTCTAAGAGTGAATGAGAAAGCGGCAAGAGCCATGGGAGTGGCAGGAACCCCTGCCACAGCAAGTTTCCAATCAGGGTTTTGAGGCCTGGTTTCTTATTCATGTAGTCACTCCCTAGGAATTTTCAGTGACGAGGAGTAACTAGTCACCATTCTTATTTTCAAAAAACAGTGATCACCAGGAGCTGATGAGGCAGGTAACTCAGAGCTAGTAGACTAGAAAACAAAATGGAATTAAGCAAAAGAAGAGAAAAAAGGAACCTTTGATGACATGTGTAGTGGAAGAGAACTGGAAGAGTTTGGATGGAGACACTCACAGGAAAGCACACCCACTTTCTCCCTGCTTCTACAGGTGAACAGAGTTGGGAGTTCTTCAGCATGGTGGCCGGGATGCAATTCAAACAACTCACAATCCCACTCAGTGATTCACTCAGGTCTCATCCATTCATTCGGAAGGTACACATGGGTTTGACATCAGACAGTATGAAAAGTCCAGGTAGGATAGCACTTAAAAGCATACAAGGGCAGGGAAGCTACCTCCCCATTGCATGGTACAGGGAGGTTTCAGTAGAATGGTTGTGGTCCCCCTCTTCATCTGCTCACAGTCCCTCCCGAGGCGGGGGAGTGGAGAGAGGATAGGCATCTCATATGCATACCTGTGAAAGCCACAAGGCACAGGTCACTCAGTCCCTGTCTCCGTTTCTTTGGGGGTATACCTGGAAGCTATGGGTATCAGTTCTGGCTACTCTCAGGCTCTCAGTGAGAGAGGAAGTACCTCTACAAGGGTAAGCTCACCCACAGAGCAGTGTGAACACACTCACTTACTATATGATCCACAGTCTGAAAGGTGACCCAGATTGGCTTGTGATAAAGGTGGCATTGATATCTCATACTGTTATTCCTTTTTAGGGGTTTAGTTCTTAAATCAAGGTGGGTAGGTAGTGTCCACATTTCCTAGTCCTCAAAACCCACTCCCCCCATGACTGCTTCTCTTTACTACAAGTATCTGTTCTTTTCCTCTATTCCAGTTATTACCTAGTCTTCCAAGAGCCCAGTGATAAGCAGTGTTTTCCTTCTTACTACAGAAAAACTACAGAATCTGAACGAGTGGTAAGCTGCCATTTGATAAATCTATGATCAGTAAAGAACGAAAATTCAGATCATAAATGTCATTTAGAGCACACAGCTTTCCATTGTATTCCATTGAAATACTTTTCTTGATGGGAAGGGAGCTTCTAGTGCTGAAAATTGGAAGTCATTTTCTTGCCATTTAAGAGGAGCTATTCTGTTTGACCTGCCTGCCTGCCGTAGAAACACTAAGAGAAGAATGCTCACTCATCCCACTTTGTCAAAAAAAAAAAAAAAAATGCTAAGGATAAAGGAGTAGAGAAGGATCCAAGGACAAGGAGAGACACCCAGATCTCCAGATCTGGGGAATCATTTGTGTATTCCTGAAACAATTGTTGTCTCCTAAGTGCCAGGCTCTGCTCGGAGACTGCAGAGACAAAGATAACACCACCTCTACAGTTCCCTCTCTTCCTGTACACGATTACAACTCCTTTCTGATGGACAGAATCACATCAATAAGTAGAACGGCCTATAAGTCCTATGGATGGAGAATGGGTGACTAGAAGTCCTTCTCCATTTAAAAATATTTAACATGACAATACAATCTCAGAGTTAATGCAGAATGTAATATGGTATCCTATCCCATGGTTGTGTGTGTGTATGGGTGCAAAACCAGAAATGGAACAACTCATAGCTCCCCCCAGGAATTGATCACTTTTCAATCGTCCATCCATCCATCGATTCATTCATTCGCAGAGGATACACACTGGGCTAAAACACAAGGCCTAAACAGAAGACATCAATACCTTCGCCAGTGACATAAGAGCCTAGGCACCCACAAATGCAAAACAAAGAAAAGGCCATAATTAGGATAATAAACAAACAAATAGGACATTTTTAACTCAGGTCAATGTGATACATACATACGCGTGTGTGTGTGTGTGTGTGTGTGTGTGTGTGTGTGTGTGTGTGTGTGTGTCACCGTAACCGTAAAACACTAAACAAAGGGCACCCCTTTCCATGTTAAATGGAAAGCCGCACATTCAGCAAAATGAGTAAGGGCCCTACTTGCAATTAACATTTTTACAAGTTCAAGTTTACTTAAGAGGAGGATTACGCATTATAAAAACCTTCTAATTTGTTACTAATTAGAGGATGTGGCTGGCATGAATAAGTAAAATGTCAGGGCGTAAAACAGGTGCTAAGCAGTGGGGCTTCCTCTTAAAGGAAAGGAATGACAATGAGTAAAAGTAACATTTGTAGTTAACCTGTGTTCTAGGCCCCTTTCTATAAGACCTGTCCTCTATTACACTATTCCCAACAATCAAACAGTAGCAAGCCCATTTTTTTTTCTTCCAGATAAAGACATGAAAGTCCAGATGCTATTACAAACTATATTTCCTTTCCAGTTCCTCTGATAAAATTCCTCTTTCCCTGGCTCACTATTTCTCAGTGAACATGTGTAAACTGGTCAATGTTTGGTCACGACCTGGGACTTCTGTATATGACGGTCATTCTGAATAAGACATTTAGCACCTTGATGGTCCAAAGGCACAAAAGGCCTAATAGTAGCCTCGTACTAGGAGAACTATGCAACTCTGAACAGCAGATGAAAACAGTAGCTTTGAGTATTCAAATATTGAGGCTAAGGAGGGGGACCCTTCCTTGAATAAATACCTTGAAACTTCCTTTCTATGACATTTGGGCCCCCTTAGGGAGTCAATTATAAAAATTCCGTGAATGTTTGTTGTGCAATCCACCGGCAGGTTTTGAGGGTCTCCTATGGTCCAAGGTCTATGCTATTGCCTGGGAAATTGAAGTGTATGGTCTCCATTCCTCCAATGCCTCAGAGTCCAGTGAAAGACATATTAAGTGTGGTAAGTGTAGGGCAGATTTAAGCATAGTGGCTAGGGAAGAGTCAAGTAGGAGGTGCCCATGACTTGGAAAGGCAGAAGAGTGGAAGGTCTGGAATGGGTTCCTGGAGGAAATGTTCTCTTTCCTGAGCGTTGACGGACCATAGGAAAATATCAAAGAAGGGCCTACTTCATGCTGAAAGAACTCTCTTTGCCAAAACTACAGCAGGAATTCCTTTGCAGTGCAAGTTTAGAACACTTTCTTCACCCATCTACTTCAATCCTCCTTGTGATTCAGACCCAGGGGCTCCTGTCTACGACATAGGCATTTCAGGCAAGGAAGTCACTAGAACTTAACATAAGCTCTTTGAAGTCTACACTCACTTTTCAGAACCCTTGTTTTTGTAAGGTCTGGTTTTACTGGTACAAACCCCCACAAGGCAAGAAATATGACTAATTCTATTCTATAGTTCTCAAAGTGAACAGGAAATTATCTTTAAGAACACTGTGGACTGCCAGCAAGTGGGAGGGAGTGTCCCTCACTTGGAGACACAAAAGAGAGATCATAATCAATGTCACCTGATGGGTAAGGTGAATAGGTGGTGGAAGGTAAACAGATTTTGTTCTGAAGCTCAGTAGTGGACTCTGTGTTGGCTTTCTGTTTCTGTGGCATATCTATCTATCGATCTATCTATATATCTTAAATCTATCATCTATCCCTATATCTATCAATCATTATCTATCTATCTATCTATCTATCCATCTATTGTCTATCTGTTACCTACCTACCTATCTACTTGACTACCTGAGAGAAGGGCAGGGGTTTGTGTTGGGGAGGTGATCATTTTGGTTGGTACAATTGAAGAAGTGGAAAGTAAAGGCATCAGGCTGAGAATCTCTGATCCTGAGATGGCCCAGAGGCCACCACTCCTGAATTTACAGGTGTTGAGCATGTGAGCTGGGCTGTTGCTACTTCAGAGTCAGAGTATTTCACTTTCTGTCTCCTGGGACAGAGAGGTGAGGCAGAAGAAAGAAACCCTGTGGGTTTTTCTTGTCTGTAGCCTACAAGGAACCGGCTCATTTCCCTTTGGCAAGCAGCCTGATGCAGCTGGCAACCATGCCTTCCTTTTCTTACTTCAGGTCCCCTCTAGCCCTAAGTGCACTCGGGAACCATAATTCTGGAAGTGAAGGTAGGTTCCCCATGTAACCCCACGCTCATATTTCATCTCATTATAGAGGTACAATGAGACCTCCAATTTGACATTAGACACACTTCTTGTCCACAAGTCCCTTTGCCCCTAGGAACTACCCTGAACAAAATGTCTGTGCTCTAAAGTAAGTGAAAGTGACGTGAAAACTAGGATCCCTCAAAAATTGCCTGACGCAACTCTTAACCAGAAAGTTCAAAAGAGGCAGGGCTGTGCAATCAAAATGGCAAATCAAATTCGAAGTTCAAAATTACACGAGGAAAGAGGAAGGCAGTCTTCAAAGAATAAAATTTCCCAATCCAAGCGGCTGACTATACCTCGATCCTGTGAACTTTCGCTAACCTTGGACAGGACTACACAGGAACAGGTGTGAAGACACCCTCATTCTAGGGGCATACCTGCTGCAGCCACTGCTGGGTACATACAGCAAGGGGTCCTCGACCCAATGGCAGTCTCAGCCTTCTGGATGACGCACCTGGCTAGGGTCTTCTCCCACGTTTGGATGGCAAAGCCAGCATCCCCAGCCTACCCTCGCTGGAGGGGACAGGGAAAAGGGCAAGTCGGGGCTGAATCCTCGCGCTGGACTTCCCGGCTTTCCACCCATTTCCAGCACATTGCTTAGGACTGGGAGCGCTCTCTCCTTCACCTCCTACCCTGAGGTCCTGCGCACTTAAAAGGTCGCTCAAAGGCAAGCGAATCAAGCGCCTCCTGGCCTTGCAGGGCTCAGGTGAGTACCAAGTGGTATGAAGGGGAAGGGGCCCGCTCGCCGCCACCCCCTTTTCTCTCCTCCCCGCCGGAGCCGAGCTTCATCAGGGATGTGTGAATTGGGGTGCGCGGCTTAAGAGGGAACTTAAAACGCCCCAAGCGTCCCTTACCTTCCACAGCCATTCTCTCAGAGCTTGCCTAACGCATGCATAATTTTCTTGGCCGAGGTACTCCTCCTGCCCCGCGCTCCCCCCCCGCCCCTCCTCTCGCTTTCGCCTAAATATTCTTCGCTCATCTGCTCCAGGACCAACCTGCTGCGGTCACGCAAAGCGAGCAGCCGGCTCCTGCTCCGCGCGAAGCCACATGGGAGTGGTAGTCCGTTCTCTCTATCCCCACCCGAGCAGCCGCCCAGGTGTCCCTTGGAGTTCAATTTTGCCGCCACAGTAAGACTGTATATCTAGACTCCGTGGCATCAGACTGACTACTTTCTCTTCTAGGCTCCTCTGGAGGGAATCTTGAGAGTGTTGGCATTTGAAAGGACTACATCTCCCAGACTGCCATGCGCCTGGTTTCTTTCAGCTTTGAGAGGAGGGACCCTTGATTGAGATCTTAGCTGTCAATTAGAAGCTCTTGGGCACCTAGCGGTCTTTGGGAGGGAGGCGGCGGGGCAGTGGGTGATGTGCTGTCTTGTTGGACCGCTGGACCCTTGGCATTCTGGGTCAATGAGGAGAGCATAGGCGTCGGTTGTCAGTGCCTGTGCCCCCTGGGCCAGGGACCTGCTGCACAGGGTGCAGTTGAAACTTGTTCCTATGCATCCTGTAATGTTTGGGGTTGTGGGGAATCCCGCCATGAGAGACAGCTGACTTCTGATCCTCTCCGTTGTTCTCAGGGTTAAATAGATGCGGGGGAGAGGAGCTTAAAAATCTCCCAAAGGCAACATCTTTAAGGAACTGATAGGATTACATCATAGGACATCAGAGCATGGGACAGCTGGCTTGCACCGTGAGAGGCTTTCTGTCAACTTTCCTGGCTAGGGAGTTCCATGACCTGCTGTGATAGAGCCTTATAAGTAACATTGTACATAGTTCAGTTTATTTCAGCCTCTGAACGTGACCTTCCTCTGGGCCTGGCTCGCGACACTTAAGTAGGAAGAATAAAGGGGGAATCTGCGTATGGCAGAATCTCAGACCTGGAAGATATTGCTGAAAATTAAACTTCCCAGCAGTTTTCTCCTATATTCAAAAATATAGACTCACTTATGCCTAGTAGGGATAAGCAAGTGGCCTTGGGAACCTCCGAAGTGAGTTAAGACTTTAAAGGACTTGAGCTCATATATGTCTGTTGTGATGAAACCATCTAGCCCCAACTTTTCTGTCCACCCTCCACTGTTTTGTTGTCTTTTAAGCTGCCTTGCGAAAGAACGCTAAGGAAGTAATTCGGGAGTTCTGGTCCTTCCGTTGTCGCCCGCTTACTTTTCTTTGTCTTGATCACCAGAAAGACTGTGTTCTCGGCTTTATTTCAGGGTGGAAATGTGCACACCTGTTTTTTGTTCTTGTTTACTGGTGACTAAGGCAAGCTTGTCCTCCTGTGGGGTAATGTAACTGTGTGCAAATATAATATTTTAAAAGCTACTTTGTGTAACCATTCAACGCCACTGATGTTACTTTCATTCTCAGTCTACAGAAGCGTATGCAAATCAAACCTAAGTCATTCATTCTGTCCAGGGAGGCAGAGTCCATGAGAAAACAATTTTCTAACCGAATATGCCATCAAGCATTGAAAATATGGACAAAAATGAAATCCAGCCTCTTCCTTGTGGCTTATTGTATATTAAATTATCAAAGCATTGAGCTTCTCTTTAGAGTGAATGAATAGCAAAGAGAGCCAGAGAAAAGACATTGCCAATGGTCCTCACCCATGACGGTATAAACACATGTACCTAAATGTCACCTTAGGGCTTTTAAAAAAGTCCACAGCAAAAGCTTAAAGTCATTAGCTGTTTTCGAACTTTTAATGATTTGGGTAATATTAAACCTTTAAAATCACTGGGATCCGCTGTTAATGCAAACATTCATTTCAGTTCAAGTCTTTAATATCCTTTCTAGCTGGTGGGTCTGCTAGTTGTTTTTAGTATAAGTAAGATGTGAAGGAAATACTGGCTAACGACATAAAATAGCCTATGTTGAAATATTTTTGAGTAACTAAATAGAGTAATTTTATGTGGTTCAAACTAAAAGACAATAGGCTTCAACGAAGCAGATGTTTTAAATTGTGAGCTAGTGCTGGAGTTGTCTAGATTCTGGGGTGAGGACAATAAATAGTCAAAGACACCGTGAGTCCTAAAGAATAACATATTGAGTGAATTACTAGTATATATAAGAATATTGACTAACTTTTCTCGTCACTGTGACAAAATGCCAGACAATGGGAACTTCCCAGAGGAGGGGATTGTTTGGACTCATGGTTTCAAGGGTGTTTTTTGTCCATCCTAGCAGGGAAGGAATGATGGTAGGATTGAGGAATAGAGACGCCTCATGTAGCAACAGACAGGAAGTGCAGAGAAAAGACCAGACTCAGAAAGAGCTAGAGCCCTTAAGAGCCGAATGATCTGTTTCTGCTGGACAGACTCTTACTTCCTAAAGTATCAACAGGTACCAATCATTCAAATCTCGAGCCTGGGAGAGACAGTTCAGATTCCAACCTTAAGAGACGGCCTCCCAGAAACCTGAAGTTTGAGCCAGATGATGAGAAACAAACTCAAGTCAGAGGGACAAAGTAGAAGGCAGGGCATCCCTAGTGGTGTTTACAGCACATATGCAAGCAGAGAGGGAAGAAAAGACCATGAGCTTTCATGGAGGGTCTAGGACAGGATGTACCTGTCAAGGTACTGAGAAATGTCCAAGAGCACAAGTGCCTTGTGTTCTATCTAGAGGGCCCTGGCTCTCCCTAAAACTAAAAGGAAGGAAAGAAATGAAGGATACTAAATTGGGCAGCAAAATGTTCAAATTCATCCACTGAGAAATTCCAATGGTTTCTGTGCATAGCATCCTACCTAGGTCCTTTCATATTAACTTATCAGAACATTACTTTTTAAAAATCATCTTTACCTAGTTATTTGCTATTCAAACAATAACAATGAAGGGTCTATTGACTGACTTCATGGGCCAGGTAGCCACAGTACAAGCAGAACATTTTACTTTTTTCTTACTTATCACTCCTAACAACTGGAACTGGGAGTCGGAGTTTTCATCTTGTACCTAAGGAAACACAAGTACATAAGGATTGATGATTTGACCGTATATATCCAGTTCAGCCCAGTCTGTGAACTCCTTTGTAGACATTCATTCTCTCATTCTTCCTTATGAATGGATCTTGATGGTATTTAGAATGACTAAATGTTCTACCCTTCCTTTTGTGACTGAGGTCTGGCTAATTGGATGTAGCAAAACATTTTCAATGAGATTTTTAAAATAGTTTCTTAAGAGATAGAAATGGAAGCTAATATTGTTCATTTTTTACCCATTCCCCCTTCCTCCAGCCTGATGCCTGTAAAACAGTATTAAGGTTATAATCCCAAACCAGTGGCTGGTTCCATAGCTCTCTCTTCAACCGGTTCTATAAAAGAATGACTCTGGGCAGAGATTAGAGGAATGAAAAAGCAAAACAAAATAAAAAAAAAAAAAAAACACTCCAACCAGATACAGCATTTCAGGCAGGAGACATAGGAAGTTAGTTACTACTAAATCAAAATCTATTGAACAACTGATTTAAGAATGAAGAATGAGTATGGGTGATTAGATCCCAGGTAAAAGGTGTACTTTGAAAATCAGTAACAGACAAGTTTTCCTGTTGTAGAATATTATTTTAAGATGTGTTACATTTGTTTGTGCTGTGGAACATTTGTTTAATGATGCAAAGATGTGTTGCATTCTTTTATGTTGCACTTGTTTAACTCTGTGAAGCTGTGTTACTGTGCCTGTTTAAAAAACCTGATGGTCTAATGAAGAGCTGAACAGCCAATAGCAAGGCAGGAGAAAGGATATGCAGGGCTGGTGGGCAGAGAGAATAAATAGAAGGAGAACTCTGGGAGGTAAAGAGAAGAAATAGCAAGAGAGCAAGGAAAGGAAGATTTCAGGGGCCAGCCACCCAGCCACTCAGCCACCCAGCCACCCAGCCACCCAGCCACCCAGCCACCCAGCTACACAACCAGCCAAAGTGTAAGAGTGAAAGTAAGAAAAGGAAAAACCCCAGAGGTAAAAGGTAGACAGGGTAATTTAAAGTTAATAAAAGCTGGCAAGAAAAAAGCCAAGCTAAGGCTGGGTTTTATAATTTATAGTTAAGAATAAGCCTCCACATGTGATTTATTTGGAAGTTGGGTGGTGCCCCCCCCAAAGAGCAAAGACAACTAACAACATTTTCCCTTGAAATGCTTTAAATTGTTAATAAAATGTGGGGCTGGACTATATTATATTTACATTCTTTTTGTTTGTTTGTTTGTTTGTTTTTTTGAGACAGGGTTTCTCTGTGTAGCTTTGTGCCTTTCCTGGAACTCACTTGGTAGCCCAGGCTGGCCTCAAACTCACAGAGATCCACCTGTCTCTGCCTCCCGAGTGCTGGGATTAAAGGCGTGCACCACCACCACCACCCGGCTATATGGCTATATTTACATTCTTAAAGACTAACTTCCCAGTGTGCTACAGAACACAGAGGAGAGACCACAAGGAAAGGCTTAACAATATCTTGCCAGATGTGGTGGTGTACATCTGTAATCTTGGCACCTGGGAGGCTGAAGAGGAGAGCTGAGAGTTTGAAGTCAGCCTAATCCATCATATTGTGCTATTCTTCTAAGTTTTCATATAACTTGGTTCACTATATTCAGTTTTCAAGGCAGCACATGGAGCTGGATACCCATAATATCAGGTGTGTGACTAATGGTATCCACCCCTGTGCTTGTATTCATGAAGATTAGGTGACTAGTGCAAATCAAAGCCTCAGCAGCCTCTCCTCTCTGTCTCTCTCCTTTCTCTTCCTCCCTCCCTCCTTCCTCCACCCCCTCCATGTGTGTTCTCCTACATGTTATGCTGTTGCAAAAGGCAGAAAGGGAGTTGTACTTTTGTAATGTAAGATGAGAGAAATATGTCCAACAGTGGTCAGAAGGTAAAATTCTGGGGGTATTCAATCAGTCAGAGGTAGGCGAAAAGGCTCCCCAAGTGTGGATGATGGATTACTGTCTTCATAAATCTGAAGGCATGATCTAGGGCTTGATCTGAATGTTCACAAATGCAAAGAGGGAAAAGAAAA